AGTGTCTTCTGGGCCATGATTCACTAATTTCACAGTAACTCTGTGAGTAATACATTATTAGAGCCATTTTACAGACAACTCAGTTGAGTCTAAGAAAATGTAAGTACTCTGCCCAAGGTCAACAAGTGGGAGAGAGGTAGAACAGAGATTTGAACACACAACATCGACACCCAGGGTCTAAGAAGCACACAGAGTCTCCTAAAACAGTAAAAGCTGGAGCATTAGACATCTCATGTCTAGGGGATATATTGTCAGAAAATAATCCGATAACAACTGCGCTGTCTGACTACAACTGGAAATAAACCCAGATCATGGCAAAGAGAGACACTGTACACCCACAATGGCAATTTCAGACTCTCTAAGACCAAAGAGTTCCACGACGATGACCTATATAAACAAGGAAACACATTTAGTTATATGTTCCTCAGAAAATTTTTTAAAATGTATTTTCCAACACTTAGTTATGCAAATTTATAACAAATATGTAAAGTAAAAAATAATACATGCACCAGCTAGACTGTTAATATTTGGTTATGATTACTTTATCACATCTTAATCCATCTTACTTTTGATGCATTTCAAAGTTGCAGACATCCGCTTCACCTATTATTATTTCAGCATGGACAGCAATAACAAGAATTCAATACATATTTACATGTATTTATCTTTAAAGTTAAATTTTACATACAATAAAAGACAAATCCTAAGCATACCATTTTGAAGTTTTAACAAATGCATACCCCCATTTAACTCAAACCCCTATCAAGACACAAAACATTCCTATCAGCCCCAGCAAGCTCCCCCAAGACTCTTCCATCAATCCTCACCCTACTATCGGAGTTAACCACTGCTTTTTCTCACTACAGATTAATTTTGCCTATTCTAGAACTTGATGCAAATGTAATACAGAATGTACTCTTTTGTGTAAGGCTTCTTTCACCATAATATTTTTGAGACTCATAATGTTGATGTATCAAGATATTGTTTCTTTTTCTTGCTCAGCTGTATTCCATTTAGGACTATACCAAAAAAAAAAAAAAAAAAAAAACCCAGTGCCGTCAAGTCGATTCCAACTCATAGCAACTATACCAATTTGTTTATCCATTTTCCTGTTGTTGGACACATGATTTGTTTCCAGTATTTGCCTGTTATAAAACACTCTTGTACAAATCTTTGTAAACACATGTTTTCATTTTCTCTTGGGTAACTAGGAGAAGAACTGCTAAGTCATGGAATAGATGTATAATTAGTTTTATGAGTTCCCATTGCTCCACCATTGGTATTGTTACTCTTTCATCTTGAATAATGTATTGGGTGTGCAGTGGTATTTCATTCTAGTTTTAATTTGCATTTGCTAATAACCGACGATGCTGACAACTTTTTCATGTGCTTATTGACCATTCATATAGTATCATTTATCAAGTGTCTGTTCAAATCTCTTACCAATAAGTTGGGTTGTCTTTTTTTACGATTTTTTAAATATTTCATTGTGTTTTAGGTAAAAGTTTACACAGCAAATTAGGTTAGCATTTAACAATTTTTATACAAATTGTTTTATGACATTGGTTACCATTTTTTGTTGTTCTTTTGTTGGTGGTGGTGTTGAGAATATACACAGCGAAACATACACCAATTCAACATTTTTTATTTGTAAAATTTAATAATATTGATCACAGTCTTCAAGTTGTAAAACCATTCTCACCCTGCTTTTCTTACGGCCCCCCTAAGGCTCCTATCTAATCTTTTGAGTTGCTGTTGTCAATTTGATTCCATATAGATAATTCTTAAAATAGCATAATGCATAAGGCAGATCTTTTTTTACTAGTTAAGCTAAACTGTTGCTCAGTTTTAAGATGACCTCAGAGGACATTTTTGGTTTAAGGTTTACAGATTATCTCAGGGCAATTGTTTCAGAGGTTCAGCCACACTCCATGGCTCCAGAAAGTCTAGAGTCCATAAGAATTTTAAATTTTGTTCTGCATTTTCCCCATTTTGATCAAAAAGTTCAGTAATGGTAGCCTGGTACCATCCAGTTCCTCCAGTCTGATGGCAAAGGAGGTAGTTTTTCATAGAAGCAATTAACCACAAATTCCATATCCTCCTCCTATTTCTGACTCTCTTTCTTCCTCTGTTGCTCCCGGCGAATAAAGACTAATTGCTGTGCCTTGGACTGGCTGCCTCCAAGCTTTTAAGACCACAGGCACTACACAGTGAACTAGGAGGTAGAACTAAAGCACTAAACATGTTATTAGGCCAATTAACTGGGATTTCCCGTGAAATCATGACCCTAAACCTCCAAACAAGGAATCAAATTCCATGAGGTGTTTGGCTGTACATAAGCAGCCTCAGAGTTACTTACTCATTCATCGTTGCTGTAAATATATCTATCACACAACTTTTGCCAATTCAACTTTTTAGAGGTGTACAACTTATTGGCAACAATTACAATAATCGGCTGTGCAACCCTACCCTTAATCAACACAATTTTTCTATCACCGCTAACCCCCCTGTTCCCTCTTCCTCTCACCCCCAGTAACCATTAATAAATTTTGGTCTCTGAACATTTGCTGTTTCTTGTCTTTTTATATAAGTGAGGTCATACAATTTCTGTCCTTTTGTGATTGACTTATTTCACTCAGCATAATGTCTTCAAGCTCCAACCATACTGTAGCATGTATCAAGACTTCATTTCTCCTACTGTCTGAGTAATATTCCATTGTATGTACGTACCACATTTTGTATATCCAATCATCTGATGACGGACATTTAGGTAGTTTCCACTTTTGGCTACTGTGAATAGTGTTGCAATGCACATTGGTATGACATCGGTTATAATTTTTGCAATGTTCAGCATTCTCATTACTTCCATTCTGTTTGTTTTGTTTCCATTTATCTAGCTTCCCTACCCCTCCTTGCTTTCTCATCTTTGCTTCTAGAAAAGGCTGACCGTTTGGTCTTATACAGTTGATTGCTGACTGGGCAATCTTTTTATGGTTCAGTGAAGGGGTTCTTTATCGTAGATAGAAGTCCTTTACAGACATATTCTTGCAAATATTTTCCTTGTCTCTTAATGGTGCTTTTTGATGAGCACAATTTCTTTATTTTAATGAAGTTTAACTTATCAGTTTTGTATTTTAATGGTTACTGCTTTCTGTATCCTGTCAAAGAAACTTTCGCCTACCACCAAGTCATGATGATATGGTCCACTTTTTTTTCTTCTAGATGCTTTATAATTTTAGCTTTTACAATTGATCTATGATCCGGCTAGATTTAACTTTTGTGTACAGTGTGAGGTGAGGGTAAAGGTAAATTTTTATCTATACGGATATCCAGTTGTTCCAGGACTATTTGTTGAAAAGCTTTTCTGTCTGCCACTGGATTGCTTTCTTTTTCAAAAACATAATAGTCTTTTAAGTGTGGGTTAATTTCTGGGCTATCTTGTGATTCATCGACCTATCTGTACATCCTTATGCTTGATTACCACAGCATTAGAGTAAATCATGAAATCAGGCAGTATAAGTCATTCAGTTTATAATTCTTCAAGATTGCTTTGTATAATCTAAGTCCTTTGTATTTCCACATGAATTTTAAAATTAGCTTGTCAAAGTCTATCAAAAAACAAAATCCTAATAAGATAATGATTTGGACTGCACCGAATTTATAGATCAACTGGGGAGAATTATATTATTTAATTTCAAACTATTTGGATTTTTCCTGGATATCTTATTGTCACTGATTTCTAATCTAATTATATTGTGGTTAAAGAATACAGTCTTTAAGATTTCAATCTTTTGAAATATAGTGAGACATATTATGGCCTAATATATGATCTACCTTGATATACATAGTTTATGTACTTGAATAAAGCATGCATTTTATTGTAGTCTAGTTGGACATGATATACTACAAATGTCAGTTAGGTAAATGTGGTTGATAGTGTTTTTACATCCTACTGTACTAAATGAATTTCTTTTTCCTTGGTCGAGATTTTCTGTAACTTACAGAGTAGCATTATATTTTCCATCTATGATTGTAGACCTCTTATTAGGTACATACACATTTATGACTGATATGACTTCCTGGAGATCTGAGCTTTTTATCACTATGAAATGTCCTTCTTTATCTCCAAAAATACTGTCTTGAAGTCAACTTTATCTAATATTAATATAACCATTCCAGCTTTATTATGCTTGCTGTCACGGATTGAACTGTGTCCCCCCCCAAAATATGTGCCAACTTGGTTAGGCCATGATTCTCAGTGTTTATATGTGATCAGCCCCATGATGGGATCTGCTGTGAGTAGACAATCAGTTGAAAGGGAGTGTTCCCTGGGGTGTGGCCTGTACCACCTTTTATCTCTCAAGAGATAAAAGGAAAGAGAAGCAAGCAGAGTGTGACAGACCTCACACCACTCGGAAAGCAGCACTGGCAGCAGAGCACATCCTTTGGACCGGAGGTTCCTGTGCCAAGAAGCTCCTAGCCCAGCGCAAGACTGATGACAAGGACTTTCCTCTAGAGTCAACAGAGGAAGCCTTCCCCCTGGAGGTGATGCCCTGAATTTGGACTTCTAGCCTACTAGACTATGAGACAATAAACTTCTGTTTGTCAAAACCATCCACTTGTGGTATTTCTGTTACAGAGCACTAGATGACTAAGACACATGCTGTATCTTTTTCCATGCATTTACTGTCAATCTATCTGTGTCATTCTATCTGTGTCATGACATTTAAAATGAATGTCTTGTAGAAAGCATATCAAGAGGTCTTGCTTTTTATCCAATCTGTCAGTCTCTATGCTTTAAATAGAATATTTAATCTATTTACATTTAATGTAATTATTGACAGGCTTGGTCTAGGTCTACAATTCCACTGTTTGTTCTCTTTTTATCCCATTTGTTTATACTCCTCTGTTCCTCCCTTTATATGATGTTTTGGATTCACTGAATATATTTTAGAATTCCATTTTGATTTCTCTCAATTTTTAGTTAAACTCCTTTGCTATTTTTTTTTTAAGTGTTTGCATTAGGAATTACAATATACATCTTTAACTTTTCACAGTGGACTTACAGTTAATATTCTACCACTTCACATAAGAACCTAGTAAAAGTAAACAGTTCCATCTACCTATTCCCATCCTTTATACAAGTATCGTATTATACCTACATATGCAATAAATGTTATATTATAATGTTATAATTTTTACTTTGTCATTTTTTTTAATTAGGGGAGAGACTTATATTTAGCAGTTGTAAATTTATCTGTGTATTTACCAATGCAGGGCTCTTCATTCCATCCTGAAGATCTGAATTTCCATCTGGTATCATGTCCGTTCAGCATAAAAATTACCTTTAGCATTTCTTGTAATCTGCAACGGCATTTTTTATTTATCTGAAAATGTCTTTACTTTGGCTTGATACTTGAAGGATATTTTCACTGGTTATCAAATTCTGGGTTGACTTTTGTTTTTCCAGCACTTTAAAGATGTTGTTCTATTGCCTGCTGGCCTGTATTGTCTCTGATAACTCACCAGCAATAATTTGTTATCATTTCTCTGGGTGCTTTCAAGATTTTTTCTTCGTCTTTGGTTTTTAGCAGCTTGACTATGGTGTCCCTAAGTTTGATTCTTCCTGTATTTATATGGCTTGGAATTCAGTGAGTTTCTTGAATCTGTAAATTTATGTCTGAAACAAATTTGAGAAAATTTTCAGCCATTATTTTTCCATAAATTGCCCTATTTCCCTCTGCTCTCCTTCTAGAACTCTAATTATACATATGGTAGACATCATTGAGGTTAACTTTATTTTTTATAATTTTTTTCAGTTTTTCAGATTGAGTGTTTCTACTGATCTATCAATTTCACTGACTCTTCTGTCATTTCTCAAGCGTTTGTAAGCTCATCCAATCTTTTTTTTTTTGTTTCATGTATTGTACTTTTCAATTATAAATTCTTCATTTGGTTCTTTTTTTTAGTTTCTATTTTTCTACTGAGGTTTCCTGTTTGCACATTCGTTATACGCAAGTTTCTTCTTTACTTCCTTGAGCAGAGTTACAACACGTGGTTTAAAATCCTTGTCTCCTAATTCTTACATATAAATCATATCAAGGTCATCTCAGTTAACTGCTTTTTCATTTAAGTATGGGTCCATTTTCCAGTATATCTGTATATCTAATAAATTTGGACTGTATCATAAACACTGTGAAAGATATATTTTAGACACTCTGTATTCTGTTATGTTCCTCTGAAGAGTACTTACTACGTTGTTTAGAAGGCAGTTAACTTGGCAGGACTCACTCTCCAAAATCTTTCTATCCTGTAGTGGGCAGCAACTAAAATCTGTTTAGTTCTTTTAGCCTGGCAGATTTACATGCAGAATTTGGACACCTCCTCTGTGCCATTCTATTTTCTAAGATTTCCTCTCTAACTTTCCAGCCACTGCACTCACCTAAATCTCTGTCCTGCAATTTCTATACAAGTTTTGGCCACCTTGCACAAGATTGACTGGGATCTTCCCTCAGGTAAAAAGCCATGAGGAATTCACCTTATGCCATTCTCTTCTTCAAATATCAATACCTCCAGCTTCTACCTGACTTTGATCCTTCGACTTTGCCTTCACATAGGTGTTTTTGATAATTTGTACAAAACCTGTCATTTATATTTGCAGGAAAGTTGGTCTGGCATAGGCTACTCCATCATTACTGAAAGTGGAACTCCTAAGGATTATTTTTAAAATTCGCAAACTACAGGACTACAAAAGTCACAACTGTAGTGACTTACTTTTAACATTGTATGGTTGAAACAATATATCCTACAGCAGTCCTTTGTATCCTCTAGTCTTCATATCTGAAAACAGAAGTATTTGGGAAATTAAAGGAAAGGGAAGAAAGAGTGCAGTGAGAGGAAACCAGGAAACAGGGAGGCAGTGAATAGGGAAGAAGAGTTATGATAAGAAAAAGGACAAATGGACAAAGTTTCTGTCATAGTACGTCATAAACTAATGTTTGGCCAAGTAAGAAAGGAGATGATGGAAAGACAAGGATAGGATTTATGACACACATGCTACAAATGATATTGTTACACAGTTACACACATTCATAAAGAGAACAAAAGCCAAATAATGTTCTAATATCATGAACTGATAAATCATATAGCATATGAACTATAAAATAACAAAAAATACATAATCCTCAATACAACCTTCAACATTCCAGACTTTTTACCATGAGAACACATTTAAATACGAGTTTTTCTTCAGTGCAGTATTTCCATAATGAAATCTTTGAAATACAATCATATAAAAAACTAAAATTCCAGATTCCACTTTCCAACCACCAAATTTTGTCAGTCTTTATGTAAAAATAATTATACATGAAAGAGGGCTTCTAAGACGTGTGTGCTTTTCATGGTCAGAATTAAATTCCTTCATCTCTCTATATAAGATGAATATAATGAACAATTCGTAGACATGAACCATTAATACATATTTAATCACCTCATTCTATTCTCATTTACCATTAGAACTGATTAAAAGTGAAATTAAATTGTCAAAAATTTATGACTATAAATAAAAACAAATTAATAAAAATAAGCAGAATCACAAATATGCTCATTAAATTTACAAGTACTTAAATTTGCTAAGTCACATTCTATCCTCCCATTTAAGAATACAAAGATAACTTATTCTTATATTGTTAAAACTTTTACATAATTACATCTTCTGTGAGTTATTAAACCTTTTCTTCAACCTCTACTGCTAAAAGTACAAACATCTGTTTTATAACAATAAATCCACATTTCAAATTGGAAAACCACATTTGCTTTCTCTTTAACACTGCAAGAACTACTCTCAGAATATTTATCTATGCCAGCAGGCTTCTGTTGCTCAACTTCTTACAAAAAAAGCCTGAACCTCACTTGCTTTATCTGATATTTATTATGTCTATTACCCTGTATTTGCATAGGTCTTACTTCATAAAGTAAATGAGAACTACATAACAAGGATCACATAAATCCAATTAGCTTCACTTCCAGACCATGTATTTTATAAAGAGAGTTCACCGATATATCTCTCTACTGCCCTCTCTAGTGAAGGCTTTTAAAAGTCATTGCTAAAATAAACTGAAAATCCAGACAGCAGTACTAAAGTCCTGTCTACTGACCATTATGTGAAGTCACACCAATAATAAAATACAGACTGCCGGGAAACATGGTGCTCTAGGCAGAAGCACCACGCCGTCCCTCCATAGCAAAGATCTGAAAGACTAAGCCAAAGAGAGAAAATAGCAATCCTGAATCCCTAAGCATCAAATGAAGAGATAAAGAATTCAGCCAAGCAACAAATGGAATAAGAAACTGATAGAGTACAGACAGCGAGGAGAGATATATGCAGAGGTCCCCTATCAGATAACACAGCAAGGATCTGCCATCTTGGACTCCTATCAGAGACAAGTGAACAGGGGGTACAAGAAAGCAGATTCATGGAGCTTCCAACAGGAGACAGAACTACAGGTAACAGGTGATATATGCTTTCCCACCCCTACCCTTCTTGACCCCCACTCGGCCTCCTCCGCTTCCCTTGGTCAGTCTCTTAGCCAGGAAGCACTGGCCACTTGGATTCCACCCGATCGTACTGGCTGACTCCTTAAGCACCATTTGTTGGCTGCTGGTCTTGCTTTTTTCTGCTTCTTTTGATTTTTTCCTTACTTCTCATCATCTCCTCCTTTCTCTCAAATACCTGAAAGGTTGTGAAACTCTGCTTGAACGTGAAACTGCTTCCCAGTCCGTGCTGCCTGCCACGCTGGTGGGATCCCAGGGCTTTTTTTGTTCGTTCTGAATTGTTTTTTTGTTTTTCTTTTTCTTTTCTCGAATTGGGAGCTCATGCTGGCCGGGCAGTACTGCATGGCTTGGGACCTACGCACACAGTTTCCACAGATGCACAGAAGGATCCCTGAGGACATTTTTTTTTCCATGGTTTTTTTTGTTGTTGTTTTTTGAGAGATTTTTCTTGTTCTTATTATATTAATTTGTTTTGTTTTCTTTTCCCTCTTTTTCCCTTTTAGTCTTTCTTCATTACTCAGTTTCTCATCTTTCTATACCTTCTTTCTCTTCCTTTCCCCTGAATACCTGGCACTGAGTGACACCTCTAGGCCTTCTAGCCAGGCGGTACTTCAGCGCCTGGGAGTAACTTCCCCAGACCTTGCAGCCGCACTGGTGGGATCCCTGGGAGCTTTTCTTTTCTTTTTTCCTTCTAATTTTTATTTATTCTTTTTTTTTTTCTCCTTTTTATTTTTCTCCATTTCATAGTCTCTCATCTCTCCACTCCAGTGGCAAGCTCCCCTAGCACTCTTTGTTGTCTGTTTGTATGTTTTTGGCTCTTGATTCTCTCTCCTCTCTCCCATACCCATCTTAGCTCCACACATCACAATCTCACCTCTCCATCCTACCTACCTGCACTGTGTGCTTAACATCACACCACCAAGCACCACAGGCACAGCCTACCGGAACCTGCCCTGCACAGATTACTGGCCCATCCTGGTGGCTGCAGTAAGTCCCACAAACAACCCATCCCAACAACTCCTCTTCAGCTGGACCTGCCCTGCTGTACCATATCTGAGCAACTGACCCTGCCAATTGGAGAAGGAGGCAAAAAGTATCATGCCCACAGACAAACAAACAACACACAGCCCACCTGTACAGACATAGCCAAATAAAACAAAAAAAAAAAATGAAACAAACAAATCTACAATCAATAAATGAGAAAAATAACTACTGAATGTCCTGAAAACAGCAGACAATATCAAAACATTTACAAAAACAGGTCAAAATGGTTCCAGTAGGCATCCAAAATAAAACACCAGATGACTTTCCGGTAGAAGAAAAGGCACTAGAACTACCTGAGAGGGAATTCAAATCTCTAATATTCAGAATTATCCAAGAATTGAAGCAAAAAGCAGAAAAAAATGAGGAAAAAATAGACAAATCCATGGAAAAGGCAGGCAAATTCATGGAAAATACAGACAAAAAAATGAAGAATTCAGGAAAATAATGCGGGAACAAAATGCCAAAATAAATTCACAACTAGAAATCATACAAAAACAATTAGAAATCCACAAGATAAACAACAAGATTTCAGAAAGGGACCGTGTCATAGAAGCGCCGAAGAGCAGATTTGAAACGGTGGAAGACAGGATCAGCGAAACTGAAAACAAACACTTGGATACAACTCTGAGAAAAACTCAGAAAAAAGAAGGAAGAAAAATGAAGAGACCCTGGGAATTATGTGGGATACAATCAAAAGTAAAGCTTTGCAAGTGATTAGAGTTCCAGAACAGGGGGAGAAAACAGAAAACAGAGAGGATCATTGAAGAACTGCTGACAGAAAACGTCTCCAATTACCATGAAAGATGAAAAGCTGGCCATCCAAGAAGCTCAATGAATCCCATATAGGACAGACCCCAAAAGAAAATCACCAAGGCATATCATAAGCACACTCGCCAAAACCAAAGACAAAGAATCCTGAGAGCAGCTTGAGAAAAATAAGATGTCATATACAGAGGAGAAACAATAGGACCAAGCTCACATTATTCGGCAGAAACAATGCAGGCAAGAAGGCAATGGGATGACATACATAAAACTTTGAAAAAAAAAAAAACTGCCAGCCAAGAATAATATATCCTGCAAAAATCTCGTTCAAACATGATGGTGAAATTAGGACATTTCCAGATAAACAGAAATTAAGGGAATATGTAAAATCCAAACCAAACTTACAAGAATTATTAAAGGGAGTCCTGCGATCTGAGAACAAACAACTTAAGCTCATAGGCTGAATCTAGGATGCAGGATTGTACCAGCCAGACACCAATCTAGGAAACGAACTCTCAAAGGCTATCCAAAACCAAAAGAAATACAACAGGGAATCAGAGATGTTAATCTGTAAATGGCAAAAACATCATAACAATAAAAGAGGGACTATACGGTGTAGGTATAGAACCTTCTAATGGAGAGGAAGGCAAAGCGATACCAAGTAATAATAATAGACTGCTTCAAACTTAGAAAGATAAGGGTAAATTTCATGGTAACCACAAAGAAAATTAACAAACTTACTCATAAAAATGAAGAGGAAAAACATAAAGTCTCAGTAAAATCAAAACCTACAAAAACAAAAGAAATGAAAATAAATCCACAAACAGAAGGAATTCAGCAATCACAAAAGAGAAGTATTGTAAGAGACCTCTATTGTAAAAACTCATGAAAAAGTTTACACACAAGAAGTAACAATCTTTGTTGGTTACCAGAGATGGGGGCGGGGGTAGTACAAAATAGACAATAGGTAAGTGGTAACTTTGGTGAAGGATTAAGACAGTATACAGTACTGGGGAAGCCAGCACAACTTGCAGAAGGAAAGGTCATGGAAGCTCAACAGACACATCCAATCTCCCAGAGGGACTGAATTGCTGGATGGAGGGCTGTGGGGACCATGGTCTCGGGGAACATCTAGCTCAATTGGCATAACACAGTTTATAAAGACACTGTTCTACATTCTACCTTGATGAGTAGCGCCTGGGGTCTTAAAAGCCTGTGAGCAGCCATCTAAGATACTCCACTCGTCTCACCCCTTCGGGAGCAAAGGAGAATGAAGAAAACAGGATAAAAGGAAAAGATTAGTCCAACGGACTAACGGACCACAGCTACCAAGGCCTCCACCAGACTGAGTCCAGTACAGCTAGATGGTACCTGGCTACCACCACTCACTACTGTGACAGGGATCACAACAGAGGATTCTGGACAGAGCTGGAGAAGGATTCAGAACAAAATTCTAACTCACAAAAAAAGACCAGATTTACTGACATGACAGAGACTGGAGAAACTCTGAGAGTATGGCCCCCGAAAACCCTTTTAGCTCAGTGGTGAAGTCACTCCCGAGGGTCACCGTTCAGCCAGGGACTGGACAGCCTCATACAACAAAATGGGACTAATGTGGCACAGCAGTCCAGGGACAAGGACTAGAAAGGCAGAAGGGGACAGGAAAGCAGGTGATAGGGAACCCAAAGTTGAGTAAGGACAGCGTTGACATAGAGTGGGGTTCTTAACCATTGTCATAGGCCACTATGTGTACTGTTTAATAAAAAACTATATTGTTCTGTAAACCTTCATCTAAAGTGAGAATAGCAGCATAACTGGAAGAACGTAATCGACGT